AAGGATTTCACGTTTCGTCATCAGCGTTCTCATCCATAAAGCCGCTCCCCAGGCCTGTAACATGGCACGTTTTTCATGATACGGCTCGGTTTAGAAGTGTAAGATTAGCGCGCACAACCCTGTTAATAGCCTCACGATTTCTAGTCTTTCACCAGCACATGCTGCGTAGAATACTTCTGCGTAGAATACTTCTGAGACTACTGACGCTATGGGCGTCAGTCTCCAGAATTAACAGCACGGCACATCATGCATTGCAGTCTTTGTAGCACAAATGGCCTGTATTGACCCTTCGGGGGTTTCTTCCCGTAGGTAGTGGGTTTTAGCCTGTATTGACCCTTCGGGGTTTCTTCCCGTAGGTAGTGGGTTTTAGGAAAGTGGTTGCCTCCGGAAAAATTCCTGGTTGCTACAGCTTGTATTTCGACATAGCGTCCATTTGACCTCTTGTTTTTCCCTTCAGTCTGCCTTAGAGTCCGAGAAACCTGGGAATCGTCTCGAAACAAATCATCATTCCGTAAAGCACAACCGATATCCTGGTTACATTTGTGTTACGGAAAATCTCACAAAGCCGCGAGAGTCGAAATCATAGCGATGAAATAATTGAATATTTCAAACAAAAGCACAAGATATATGAACTCCTTGGCCGCATATTACTCTAAGCTGTGAAGTCTTTGAGAGAGGAATAAAATTTTCCCCACACCAAGATGTTGCATTTTGTTGCGCATGTGGGCGAACCAACAATCATCTCTATTTACGTCCATAGTTTCGCAACTCACCATTGAAACAATCGTCCTCTGGTGGAAAGTTCTGCTGGAATACTCGGACCACTTGGACTCAAAAGTTTGGACTCGTATTCCGAACCCAATTACCTGTTCGGTTTAGCCCATCAAGGACACGTCATGGTTTTCGAAAAGTCAATTCGTCGTGCGATTACTGAGCGGCCACGATATGCTCTGTGCGTCTCCAACACTTAATAGAATCATCCGTTTATGGCCTCGTTCATATTACGGTTTCACATTGCTGTGCGTATGGCAGGGCACAAACTCCACGCGGCTGGATATGGACTAGTGGTTTCTAGGCCTGTAATTGGAGCCGAGTCCAAGAGGCGCATCTAAATTTTCTCTAAAAAAGTGGTTTGAAGAATGGAATCTTTGACATGACGTTTTAGTGTTTGATGGTATATATTTGAAACCCTTAAAATCTTCACAGGCTGTCGTAAATTTGTTTGTCAGTTGTTTAAACGAACTCTAGGCCCACCTAGGGCGCGGAATCCGTGTTTTAATGCTGTAACGCATTTGAAACCCGATTGTATCTGCTTGCACGTCTCTCATATGACCTTATACGTGCCTCTCCCTCTCTTCCTCCATTTCAGGTATCACGGATGAGCCCCGGGTAGGAAAGAATAACCCTCTTGTACACCCCCCTGATTGACCTTGACCTGACTTTGTACGCCCGTCTTCCGGTTTCCGTTTCAGTTTAATACACGTGTGGTTGCCACGCTCCGGTGTTCTTTTCTGTGTCATCCGATCTGTGCGAATGTGTGCTGTGTGTGCTGCGTCGAGTCCGTAACACCAACCTCTATATCTGAACATTTCAGAACTGATGTGTGCCGTCGCTACATCCTGTCGAACGTCGAACACCGCTGACTTCCTGACGTCCCACGCTACAATGCCTGCCAATGGATTTGCTTGTGGTATCAATGGAAATGGTGGAAAATTCTGTGGAAACTCTGGTTCCTTTGTGTGTTTCTTCTGAAATGACTTTGGAAGTGATCTCAAACGAACATGAACATTAATTGCGCCCTCTACGTCCGCACTGAATCACGGATTGATGGATTGGTACACAGGATCGAGGCTTTTGCCCAATTTGCCCGGGTCGGTTTTGTTCTTGTCGCTCAGTGGCTGTTGTTCGCCCGAAAGACACAAATGAAAAGTTTTTGCACTGCTCTTGAATTATCAGCGCCGGGCAGAATGCTTGCCGGCGCGAAGGCTCGGATAAATAATTGTACAATAGTGCCTTCGACTGATCTTACATTGAGCACGGACAACCGCTACTTGAAGGTTATTTCACGTTGCTACTATCCGACATGAGGAAAATTTTGCCTGATGAATGAATGCGATCCTCTTAGAATACCCCCGCCATGTGTTTGCTGAGTCAACGTTGGAGAACTGCTAGCCTGGCCTTGTTCAAACACCATTTTCATAGCGGCTCGCTGGGCACGCTCGATGAGCTCGACTTCACTCGTGCGTCCTGAGTAGACAACTTGGTTGGCATATTCAAGAAGTAGTCCGACGTAGGCCTCGTAGAGTATTTGGAAGTCCATACGAGTGATATGGGAGAAGGTGCTTCGGATCATCCGTAGAATGGCGAATGACTTTTGGGCCGATTTCTCGTGGTGCATTTAGAATGACGGGTTTGAAGTGAGCCATATACCCAAATCCGTTTTGGCGTCTATCCTCAGATTTTCTGGTCCTTTCTTAACGTACATTACAAATGCGTTCGCTCAGTCTTCCAAATGACATATGGACACACTTTTCGTCATTCAGAGGGAGGTGCCAGTCCAACGACCACTGCTTGACAGCGTCTACAGCCACTTGGAGGACACTGGCATTAAAACTTCGAGATTTACGGTCACCCGAAAAAGTAGAGCTGGAGTTGCAAGAACGCCCGAAAAGTCACTGACGTATAGCAGAAACAGACGCCCCAAAACGGAGTCTTGAGGAACTCCAAGAGGGACTGGAGCGCGAGAAGACTAGGCCGAGCCTGTTTTCACCCGGAACGATCTGTGTGATGGGGGCGCCTTCATCCGGTATAGGATTTCCGTTGAATCCGGTAAGATTCGGGTTTGTGGAGCAGCGGGACGTGCGGGACCATATCAAATGCTTTAATGAGCCGAAAAATATGGTATCCCATATGAGTCCCTCGCCCTTGACTTGGATTAGGCTGTCCATATACAGAAGCATGTTCGTCGCGCAAGAACGGTTTGCGAAAAATCCGTGTTGACTAGGAGATATCAAGTTGTTGGAAGTGAGGTGATCTGATCTGCGTTTCCTCACCTTGCACGACACGCTAGTGAGTCTCACAGGCCCGGAGCTGCCAGGCGACAGTCGGTCACCGATTTTTGTAGATTGGCGTGACGGTCGCTTCCTTTCAAGCACAGGGAAGGCGGCCTTCGTCAGTCTACTGAAGAAACATGAGGTTGAAATGATTTGAGCAGCCGCTCGCAACCTGCTTACGGAAAGGTGTGCTCCATGCTTCAGCCTACAGAAGGATATGAACGATCCCACCGAATTCCGCATGAGTCTGCCAGAATGTCCCATGTAGTCGCCAGAGCCCTGATCGATGATCTCATGGAATGTTTTTGTTCCACATCGTGCAGGGCGAGGGATATGACCCAGATGACCTTCAAGGTGCATATTTGCCAAATAGATCTGACTCAGATAAACTACGGGGCAAAACTGAGCTTTCTGAAGAATTTGGATAGGATAGTGAAGTGCTTACCTTATGCTCTACAATACAAACAGGCGGAATTCGTTTAACCCGCCTCCCATGATCAGGGGATAGCTGACCTTTTCCCGACCTCAGGTTTCATCACTCAAAGAGCGAGAGTGATAAGCAGTCGTTACGGCATTCTCGCGAAATCCGTTGGGCAGAGGAACCTACGTGTACGTGGGCAACCCATTACAGATGCAGGCTCTTGTCTCCAGAATCACTTGCAATAGTGTGTGCAGAGAAGGCGTCATTATCCAGCAAGATGAGTTGTAAAGTAAACAACGTGGTAAACAACGCACCGCGAGCGAACTCTGTCCTTCGACCTAGCAAAACATTGTAAACTTTGAGCTCGCTTAATGCCTGTTTCCGATGTCTCGAATGGACCCACAAAGCAAAGAATTACCAAAAAGTGTCGACATGGGGCAGATGGATGCTGAGCCAACCATCACGTTCTGTTTCATACAAGATCATCGAATAAAAGTCCAGGGAAAGTCCCTGCCGTCAAGATCAATGCAACGATCGACTTCAAAACTACTGTTTCCTTTGGACTGCTTCCAGTTCGACGAGAGAGGCCTTCGGCAGAAGTGATTGCGTATGCCTTCTTGGATAGTGGGTCCAATGCCACACTCGTATGCAGTAACTTACCCTACGGACTAGGCGTAGAGAATCGTCACATACCACGTGAAATAGAGATAACCAGCGGATCTTCTTTAGCAATAGAAGAATCTGAAAGCCTCGAGGTGTTTCCACTACGAAATGACGTATTTAATTTCGTGACAGGTGCTTCGGTAGTAAGTGGACTACTCTAATTGTTGGTCGTGGAATCATGTTCGGAAATTGCAAGTCGTTGGCCTCATTCGAAATCTTTTATTTCCCTGATAATGTTTCCCAAAAAACCGTTGAAATATTTATTAGCTGTGATGTTTCCGAGGCCCACTATTTTTAGCAGATCAACGTTTCGGAGCCGTTTGATATGAAGACACCGCTGAGTTGGGTTATAGTTGGGCCACGGTGCTCAGATAGCCGTGAAATTGTCGCCGCCAGCCGGCTATCCTCGGTGGGGACATTTGTAGCGTCAAATTTGTGCCTTATAAAGCGACCATGTTGCAGACAATAATTCGCTTCGGGAAACCCCATCGGTCGAAGATAGACGTGCGGTGGAACTGGTGGGCGCACGGATGGCTTATTTTAGAAGGCATTTCGCTGTACCGCTCCCGTGGAAGGCAGAGCGACCCACTGGTTTTTCAAAACTTTTGGCAGCCTTATCAATACTGTAACCATTGTGTATACGTTTTCTGCATAACCCAAAATACCTCGGAGCATATGCGGCAGTTATGTCGAGGAATCTCCAGAAAGGCTAAGCATTGTCGGTTCCTCCTGAGCTGATAATGCTGCAGTCAGCCGCGGGATGGTACTTGCCTCACCATGCAGTATCGAACCCCACAAAGCCTGGCAAATTGCTGGTTGTATTAAGCTTCGCAGCTAAGTAAGAAGGAAGACCGCTGATCGACATGCTTCTCCAGGGGCCAGATACAACTGATGATTTTTTAGGTGTTCTTCTGTACTTTCGAATAGATCTGCCTGAGGTGTCGGCAGATGCCGAAGAAGTGTTCATGCAAATCCATGATCAAGGGGCTCTGAGATTTCTGTGGTTCTCCCAGAATGAATCAATAGTGAGGATATTGAATTTCAAATAACCTCTCGTGTTTTCGGTGCCGTCTCTTCGCCATTCTGTGCCAATTTGTTCTTACGACGAACAGTGTTCGTTTTCGGCAAGGATTACTACTAACGGATGAAATCATCTGTGTTAAACAGCTTCTACGTAGATAATTGTTTGGTGTCAATGTCTTTCGCCACTGATGCAGAGTTTTGTGCATGAAACAACCGAGGTACTTTCAAAATGGGGCTTCCACCTCCATGAGTGGGTGGATAATATTCGCGATGTACTGCAACGTCTCCCGCCATCTGGACGAATGATGTTCGAAGTGTAGATGTCTCCGAAAGCAATGAATACGCAGCAAGGCTTCGGCATTAAATGGAATCTACCTACTGGAACCCTTTGCTTTCAGTTTTGTCTTCCCGAGAAGCCACTAACATGTAGAGGAATCCCAACGGCTGATTGTTATGTTTTGATCCACTAGGATTGATAGCCCCTGTATGCTTAAGCGTAAGTCAGCTGCATCAAGAGCTCCCTAAGGCCCTGCATTGGTTGGGATACTCCCGTTGGTGAACAGCATTCAATTTGTTGGCATCCATGGATAAACTTGGTCAAGTCGATTGGAGGTGTACGGCACCCAAGGTGCTTGTCACCTGACGATTTTTGAATATATATAGTCCTGAGCTTCATGTGTTATCAGCTGCGTCGGAAACGGTAACGGCGTTGCAAAATACGTACGCTTTGTGCCAAGTGATGGTCGGGTGGCATGCACTTTGATTTCCGGAAAGTTTGAATTTGCATCGTCGAAGAACGTTACAGTTTGGGGGTTAGAATATGCAGCTGACGAATTGAACGTAAGGGTCCACAAGCTACTTATTAAGAGTATATCTGACCTCTCTGTGGCTACTTTTTGGACAGACCCTCAAATAGTTCTTCATCACACCAATAATCAGTTCACCAGAATTTGCACCTCTGTGGCCAATCGGCTAGCAATTACACAATTAATACTCCTCACAGAGTGAATGAAGGCAAGTGAAATGATCACAAAACCCTAGGGACCCAGCATCCAGGGTCATGAAAGAAATGAACGATTCGAGTTGCATCTGAGGCATCACACCGCGTCTATTAAGTCAGTCTTGGTAGCTCATTTATTCGGGTATGACAGACATGGAGCGGAGCCTCGGAGTAGCCTGGACTATCGAGCAGTTTCAAACATGTCTGTCTGAACTGCGGAAGCTTGTTTGTATATAACGGGGTGCTAAAATCACAAACGTAACCATATTAGCCGATCGGTTTTCCAGAAGGAGTCCTCTAGTAGGCGAGAATTCTAGTGCAGTTGAGTATGGGGCAGCTACGATTTTTATGAGGAAGACGGGTGTGGTAATTAAGTTTCGTACGTATATCGGTACAACCCGACAAACTAGAAATCCAGAATTCAACGAAGAGTGGCAACCAGCACGTATGTATTCGAATTGGCGCATATGTACAGCATATGGAATATTAAAACAAGAGAATAAGGAATAGAGCAATGAATAGAGCATCAGTCATGTTCATCACATCCGCCACAATATTAGCCGATCGGTTTTCCAGAAGGAGTCCTCTAGTAGGCGAGAATTCTAGTGCAGTTGAGTATGGGGCAGCTACGATTTTTTATGAGGAAGACGGACTTGTCATTTCCATTATGCAACATTGTATTAGTATCGGGACCCAAATGTAGGGATTTGGTGCTCTAAATGGGCAGATTTGTCACGTAGTGCCCGCCCACTCAGTTGATTTTTGCTACCGCTGCATCCGTGGGTGGACGTTTGAAAGCGTCTGTGGTCTTTGAATCCTGGGGCTCAGGCGCATACTACGTGGTCTTACGACTAATAAGTATGAACCAACTATTTTGCATTAAATTTGCTGAGTCCGGTAATAAGAATAGTTTACGAAGCTCGCTGTTGAATCATCGATATACACACGGCTCTTCTTAAACTTTCACACTTCATCACTCGCTAAACTAACATGAGTTTTGGATCCTTCTATCTACCCAGACTCTTGGTTTTCATTTTTGACCGAAAAGAGGTTAATGTTGGGTGGGGCGCTGAGCCTATTATAATTTGAGTCAATCGCGAGTGTCAAATCATTCAAACCTTTTCAGCCAGGAGGACACTTAATTTTTGCCGTTTGCTTATTGGTTTGTCACTGAAATACACTTCCCAGAAAATGCTTAAAACTGGTAATTAAGGTCCGCCTGTGGAACGCAACTCTTGAAACCAAGTCCTTTTCCGTTAATATAATACCCTCTTTTATATTAGCCTGTGGAAGACCGCTTTTACGCTTATCCTGCACGTGGGCTCCCAATAAATATACATTACAACAACTTGATACACAAAAATATCAGCGTAACTTGCGGAATGGTCGCTTGTCATATCCTTTCTCAAGTGAACTCGTAGGATGGTAAGTGAACTTATCAACCAGAGGTCTCACGAACTGAACATTGGCGACGATGGCAATAGCTTAAAAGGGAGATCAAGAATGGCGTAGGCTTTCCGTAAAAAGTATATTTTGTGCAACTAACCACTTTTGTGAGAGTTCGTTGAAATTTATAGGTGGGGACGGGGTCCTTTTAGTTTCGTGGTTAGAGGACTTGGTTGCCGACCTCAAACAGCTGCTGGATTAAGGCTCCACAAATCACCTGCCCGTTCATGCGATCAACAAGAGGGTGCACTAGATGATCCAAAGAGGACTGATGCCTTCCAAACCACATGGATGGCGCCAAGTATTCGATCCTTTCTGGAATCTGACCTAATAAAATGTGATGTATAATGGCAAAGTGCAATAACACGCTTGCCAACACCCCTACCACCGGACGCGGTTTAGGCCTCTACAGGTGTCATCTTAGTCCTGCCAAATCCTGATGCACTTACCAACCACACTACATAACCGTACCTCGGACACCGAACAACTTTGAGGCGGTTGCATTCGCTATCAGAAATAACCAAGATCCCAACAGCTACGAGGCCAAGTATTTCTTTTGGTCTGGACAGCAAATATATGAACATTCCCACTGAAAGTGAATAGAATGCGGTAATTGCAACGAACGGAATAGCTACTATAATGTTCGCCGCAATAGCAAACCGTGCCAAATAAGGGAAATTTTGAAAATTGCCACTTGTTTAGTATCCCGCAAATAATTATACTCTCCAACTGGCTCAGCGCTATTTTCTCTTCTCATCCTCCCGTTTAGAAACCGAAACTTGCCTTCCCGACACCATCTCAACTATTGAGAACAAAATCGATGGAGAACATTTATTTTACTTTCCCTATGGGGCTTAAAAAAGTCCCATTAGCCAATGTTGTAATGCGGTACATTTTTTGCGATGTAGATGAGATGCTTGCTGTCTTATCTACCGGCTTGTGACCACTTAGTTTGTATTAACTAATAAACACTGTTATCTCCTTCATTTTCGTCGCCAGGATGCGGGTGGAAGTCGCATGGCCACAACCTTTTGACAAAAAGTTGTTCAGAATTTACTGGAGGATATTTTTGACGTCGTAGAGACGGCTTGACCGAAGACGCAATGAGGGCCCATCTCAGCGACTGGACGAAGGCCGTTCTGGATGCGGTCAAAAATAAACTGAGATGTACTGGACGCTGTAAAGGATGCCACAGCAGCGGAGTTTGACATTACGACAAACAATCAGGAGCCTGTGAGGCTCAAACCGCCCAGGGGGTGACAAGGATGTGACCCGAGGGTGCTCTTTGCCAGTCTAAAGCGGTGACTGGATTGTGCCTCCTCAGGACTTGGAGAAGTGCCGCGCCAGTCGTTGCTGTCTGACAGGAGCCAGCCGGCCTTTGTTGCCCGGTTGCAGTTGACGGGTCCAATCAACCTTGTAGAACGAACGACTTGGTGCGCCTGGTGTAAGATCCTCTGAGGTGCTTAGTGGAGTGAAGCTCCGAAGTGCCAAAGAGCGATGAAGATTGATTTACTTTTTGCCCATGTCCAAAAGCTCTCTGCCTTACAGTCCCTATCAGCTCCTGCCCCATTCGCGGAGGCAGGGTTCATAATAACGTTCAAGAGGTGTTAAAATGTCACGCTCGAGGAATACAGGAGAGCTTGGAATTTTCCGGTGGTGTCCTTGAAGAGCACGAACGGGAACTACCATTTTTGTGTGGATTGCCGGCGTTTTATTCGACTGATCACAAACCGAGTTCCACGTTTCTCCCCGATTGCATGGCTATTTGATTCACTCTAGAAAAGCCAACATTTCACTTCGTTCCGGATACCGGCAATCAACTAACAGATAACACTGAGAGAGAATGGTATTCACAGTTTTGGGCATTCAACATCAATTTAGACCAATTACGTTTGGATTTTCGGGTCGCCAGTCACATTCCGATGCTTGGTGCTTCGTCTAGCGTGTGGACCACCGGAACTTGGTGTGTGCGGAGACGATGTAGTTGTGCTTAGAAATTCGAAACCAGAGTATTCAGTTCGCATGAAGCCGGTCTTTAAGCTATTCTGGAGGCTGAATCTCGGATAAATGAAGCCAAGATACAGCTTGCCCAAAGTTTGATGCCACATCTCAGACAAAATTCGTGTTAAGAAGAGGTTAACCAACATTCGTAAAAACGGGCTATGTTATTGAACTGTGCGTCTCCAATTCAAACCAGTCGCTTACGACATGTCCTCAACGGACACTACACTACAGCCGGTCTGTCAAATATTTCAACGAAATAGCTGCTCTACTGAACGAGAAATTGCGTCAAAATTGTAAGTTTTAATGCAAAAGTGAAGCGCAAAACCTCTTTGAACATGTCACAGCGTGAATGCTGGATTAGTAACTGATCCTCAGATTGACTAGGGTCCTGAAGTTGTTTACTGTCTCAAACGATGCTGATGATCGATGTGCTCGAGTGGTTTCGAAGCAGAAGGAAGTCATGCTAATCGTGTCCTGGCGACCGCTGAGTAGAATCATTCAACCACTGAAAAAGTATGTTCACCTGTCGTTTAGGTATTTCGTATGGCAAAGGTTTGATGTTGAGACCGATCAAAAATACTTTGAGAGGATCCAGACCATTAGAGATTCCGGAAGAAGTCTAGCGCGCTGTCACGCTGACCTCAAGAGTATGGCTACAGCATGGTCCCGGAGGACGAGATGTTGCAGCCGTCTTATTGGACGGGAGAGGTATTGAGAGAAATGTTAAGAAAGACAAGGAGATGCAGACTTCCCGGGAACCGTCATAGACTGAATTTTGGTGAATTTTGAATAGTATTCTGGTAAGACAAATATTTTGATGTCGTACTGGCTTTTACGCAAGTTTTCCGGATCGTCTTTTTCTTGTAGTTC